GCGCACACATACTCAAACTCACACTCATGCGCACACTCACACTCACGCGCACATTCACACTCACAGTCACGCGCACACTCACTCATGCGTACACTCACGCACGCACGCACGCACACACACACGCGCATGCACGCGCACACACACACACGTGGGTATGTGCGTGTGTACTATAAATAGATAAATAAACAAATATATAAATTGTGTGTGTGTGAGATTCTTTTATGATACAAGAGATTATGTGCTGTGATATACAAGGCTGCTACTACCACAACTTCAGTACTTCCCTTTTGTGTGTCATATAGCTACACTGGCAGAGCGCCAAAGGACTAGGCAAGTAGATGACACGAGGAAACTGATCACAGAAACTAGTGTAGGGTACCGGTTCACATTAGCAGTAAGAGAGCATCATGTTCTGGTGCATGACATCTTTCATGCATAACAGGATAATGTTTTATGTGCCATATTGCCCTTTATACAAAACAATAGCCAATTACACAACCCCATTCTCCCTCATGTAATACCCTTGGGCATGTGGCATGGGCATGAGGGTTCCTAATAAACAGCAGCATAAAATGTAATTCATACATCATCACAATACGATGTGAATGACCTGTTGCCGAGAGCCTCACCCAAGTTGACCTAGGCATGAATTCCATGTCCAGAGAGTAATTGTTAACTATAAGATATCAGAAATAAATTTTACCTAACCATTCAACTGTGAATATTTATTGAACTGTAAACCCTCCAACTTATCTGTCTCTCTCCAACTGCTAAAGAGGCTTTTTTTCCTCCTCTTTCTTTCCTTTTCTTTGATAATGAAGAATTTGAATGGCACGATTTCATACACCAGAAAATGCGTATATCATCATCATATTGCAAATGCATATATCAGTACAGTGAAAAAACTACCACAGCTACCTCTCACAAATGAATGAATAAAAAAGTTAATTTGTATTTGGATGTATTTATAATTATGTAGGTGTATATAGAGTATAAAGACAATGATATACCTAAAAGTAACTCTGATACATAATAGTTTAGTGTGTGGAGGGAGAATATAGGAAGAGGAAAAGATCTAGGGTTTCAAATACACTATACAGCACCAGAATTACTATCTCACACTCACTACATTTTATTCAAAAGTAGATAGTGAAGAATACACAAATGAGTGACAGGCTCAGGCAGAGCAGGGTTTATAAAGGGGAGGTTATAGTGTGGTTATGGCTTCAGAATATTTGCCAAATAGTACTGCAGACATCAGTGGTCACAACATACATCTCATTCATGACAAAAAAGCCATGGGAAAAACTCCTGCCAGTTCTTCACAGGTCTTCCACAATTGTGGTGAATGTCACTTTAGGGGTTACAACAATAATCTATTCTACCTCACGACACTTAAACCCTTTGACAATTTTCCTGGACAAGACAAAAAGAAACAAGACCAATATTTACAAAGCAATCTACAAGGGCCAACTTTCACTCATCCCGAGTCTAATAGAAAAATTACTTGCAACAGACTATAAACATTGTAATGAGCTAGCTATGAATAGACAGTGCAATAAATCCAAATGCTTTTTAGCTTCACGAGTGTTGGGCTCACTACATGAAATAACTTTTGTTAGGTGCATATAATCAAATAAAAAAACAAATCATATAGATATAATGCATAAGATTTCCAGTCTATATTAAACCATCATAGGATCTACTGTGCATAACAAGCCCAATGTGAACCTATAATGTCAGTATAAGAAGTCACACACCTGGTATAATGGGCTACAACTCAATTAAATAATTAGACACATGGGAAAGCTATGCTCCTTGCTGTCAACTATTTTGGCTGCAGCATATTAAGCAAGGTTAAAAAGAGACTTTTTTGCCTACTCAGAAGACTCACTTTCTCCATGACTGCAGTCAGGGCCAAACCTATGTTCTTGTTAGTATAAGCAGATAAAATTTAAGACCTTTTTATGAATTTTTAAGACTCGAACCAATTGCTTAATTAAGACCTGGAGCCACATGTCACTGAATATACACTTCCCATAATGTATAGCCATACTTATCACACCAGTGACCAAGGGAGAGAGAGAGAGAGAGAGAGAAAAAAAAAAAAAAAAAAAAAAAAAAAAAAAAAAAACACACCGGCATGATTTTTACACAGCCTCTCAAGATAGATTTCGAACCAAAGTTTTTTTCTTTTACACGGCCCATATGTAAATTGTCATATCAATCATCAAGGTCCAGTTCTAATGCTGTTGATAAATGATTTCCGATCAAGGTGCATTAATATCCGCAAGTGAGTGAGTCACAACAGCGTCCACTAGTAACATACAAGCACATTTATGAGAACAAATATGTGCCTTGAACAAATTTATGACATTTTTAGACCTGAGACAGAAAAAGCTCCATTTTTTAAGACATTTTAAGATTTTTTCAGGATGCATGGGATCCCTGCAAACAACTAACAACTGCTTAGAGAAACCAACATAGGAGCTGGTTTGACCAGGGCATCATTGCAAGAATATAAGCCACCTAGCATGATCAAGCTAATTTCCGTTGGAATTACAGTGTTAACCCATTGCCATCAGGGATGGTATATATAAGCACTTCATGTCCACTGTGATCTGAGTTTACTACTTGTGTTTACGCACAGATGGCTCTACAAGAGCTGTCACCAACAAGTCAATTACTACTTCTACAAAGAACTTGTTCCTTCGTTTCCTTGATTTTCAGAAAGCTTCTTTTTTAGTTTTCATTGCTATTAATATTCAAATGACATTATCATAATCATAAGGCCAATAACCATAACAGCATCATTATTACAAGCATTAGAAAAAAAATCCTAAAAAATTCATGGAAAAGGAAATCGGGAAGGTCACGAAGGACTTAATAACTGACTCTTTAGTGACTGGAAACCTGTGGAACTATCTATGTCAACAAAATTCACAAAACAAATCGATAGTGAATACATACATAGCAACAATGGGTTAAGTATGAAAATTAAGATGATGAAGATGTGTTTTTGGGAAGGAGAGAGAGAAAAAAAAAAAACTTTTCTATATACACCTTGGTCCATACACCGTAGTGCTGCTATAACATTTGCAGATGTGCCACTACAACTAAAAAGACGGCACAGTATTTTGACACCAAGACCATACTTTCCTCTTGAAAAGCTTAGATAAAATGAAGACCATTCAAATGTTTTCCTTACACTGATGAGAAAGAAAGAAAGGGGGAGGAGGAAAAAAAAAAAAAAATCAGCAGCCTTAACCCCCATGATCTAGATGACATGACCATTACATCATGAAAAGAAATCGGCTTGAGGGGCGACACAAACATACTCTCATGGAAAAATTTGGATGTGGGATATATGGAGATGAACTTGCCATCAAAAAAGAAAAAAAAAAAAAAAATCAGCTAAAGGCTGGGGTGACGGGAATGACTCGTCAGAAGTGCGAAAGTTTTTGGAGGATAATTAGACTCCGTGGGCATTTAGGAAGGTGCCCTTGCATTATTTCTATTGGTAAGTGTGTCGGTGTACTATCTGTGACCATGACTGGAAGAGAACTAGCTCCAGGAAAAACACTATTTCCATGCTCAGGATCCTAATCCTGCAAGACATGATCGCAGTGTAGGTTGTATTAGAGAAAGTTGAATATTACAAAAAAAAAAAAAAAAAAAGGAATAAAAAAATTAAAATGGCACAAATATGAAAATACTACTTATTGTTATCATCATTCCACTGAATTGCCGACTACCTCAGGCGATGATACTGAGTCTGTGTAAGGAAAATGGTCTATTGCTATTTAGATACAGCAGATCAAATGACAAATATAGACACTGGAACTTTGCAAAAAATAAAAATAAAATGTTTATGAAAAAAAAGAGATGATAATAATATTGCAAAGGGGACACAAGGAGTCTTGACACTGCCTATGAATGCTGATGTACGTTGATGTGTGCCTGGCCTATAAGTCGCACACCCATGAGAGTGGCTTTTAAAGCAAGCCTAGTGCCTGGATTTTGGGCCACGTGCAGTCAGCGAAGCACCCAGATCCGAGGGGTTGAAGATTTTCTCGTGTGAATTCAGGGCATTATTCCTTTTAAAACGAAGCCTTTATCGTCACTTCTCTTGTAATACGCTATCAGTGAAAGAAGCGCTTCACCAGGATAGGTGTCCGTATATACCATGTCTACTGTGATTTTAACTCACTGATATTTTTTACACAGAGATGCCTCCACAAATGCGAGGAGTGAATTGCTATGCCTACATGATCTCAAATATTTACCCTTTTCTTTCAAATCTGGGAAGATTCTCTCATTGTTTTTTATTATCAGTACTGTTAATAACATGACAACAATCATAATGTCAATAATAATAATAGTAATAGTAACTGAATATAGCACTAGAAAATAAATGATAATAAAAATAAAAATCTCAAAGAACGGTAAAACCATGTGATGTCAGGTAGAACATACCGACTGAATTATTTGTGACAACGTGCTTTTAGGAGCCATCTCTGCGCCAACGAAGTTCACAAAACAAAACTACAGAGGATAGTACAATTACTCTGTGCCAACGGATAATCCAATTTAACTAACTCTCAAGTCACAAGGTATTTCGAAAGCCGCCATATTTTTGTTTCTTCAAGAAAAAATGTTCAGTTATTCACGAAAGAGGAAAAACACTTTAATCAGTATCCTAATACCCTGATTAAAGATTCCTATAACCTGCTTTTCAAGGAATATTTATAATCAAAGGAACTCATAATGAGTTATACATTTCCATGCACAGGTTATTCATTGTGAAAAGCAAACATATGTGCTGTTAGCTACTTTGCTTATTTTTTGATACCGTCAATAATCTATAACATACATTCTAAAGAAACTTGGGAAAATATAAGTTGGCCTACATGTTTAAATCTAATTCGTGACTTACTTCTACAACTTGGAAGATTACCAAATATTTACAACTAGATTCATTATCAATAAGAACTACAAAC